ATTTAAAATATTTTCTTTTTTTTTTTTTTTTTTAAATTTCCAAAAACTCACCGGTTGCCTCACACGGCAGAGCCAATTCTTCCAAAATAAAGCCTTGAATTGGTGTACAGCATGCCCCATATCGTCTTTTCTTTCCTTCAATCACTTGATCACTTGCAGAGTGGCTTCTTAAGGACTTTCTAACTCAGAATCATCTCCCCAAGCAGCCTGAACCTATTATTCAGAAGCAGATTAATTCCAGCACTAGAGAATGGTGCAAGAGATTTGTCTGCTTGCTGAGAAAAGATGAGATTATGTTTCTGCCTCTTGTTTTGCATTCATTGAGGAATCTCATCTTTCCATTTGCTTCTCAGTGCAATGAACAGTAAGGGGATGGGTTTGTATAAATGCCTTCAGGGTGCTTTACTCCACTATATATTCTGCACTTGTTTCTACATTTTTCTGGAATAAAAATGAACACAAATAACAGGAAAAAGAATGTGTAACACACATTTGTCTTTTTCCAGAGTTCAGTGACTTTCTGTCACTGTAGTGTTAATCTCATTTTGTATGTATATGCTTAGATTTAAAAAAAAAAAAAAAAAAAAAAATAGTAGGAAAGTAAGTACGCTGTTTAACCACATAGCCCTATAAATGTCTGTATACTTCTAAAACACCTTTACAAGTACACATACAGCACTGTGGTGGTCCCATTGCATCATTTTATGACTGTTTAATTTTACCTTATAAAGGGTGCATGTTTGAGATTTCATTCTCCTTTTTCTGTATACATTACCCACATAAAGGTGGAATATTCTGACGAGTCAGAAAACTGTGTTAATTAATTGCCACATGCCATCCAGGATGAAAATCAGTTTTCCAGCATTTCCTTCAGCAAAAGGGAGGGAGGGCAATTCCTGGCACTGCGCGGGGGGATCTGCAGGAGGGGAGCCTGTGCATACCTGTGACAGCAGGGACACCTGGAGACACAGCAGGTCTCTGGTGGTGCAGAGCCGTGCTGTTTTGCTGGGGGGTGAGGATGATGTCCTACTGGTTAGGAGTGACACCTCCAGCTGAGGAGTAAATTTTCTGTGTGTTGCTTTTTACCCAAATGGATTGCCTAAGATAGAATCTGATCCCCAAAAGCTCTCTCCAGTGTCAGCAGAGACAGAACACAGCCCCTATAGAAAGTTATTAAAACCACCTAAAATCTGAATCACGATTCACACATACACACACATTAGGACAGTGCAATGCCTAAACAAATATTCTTTATTTCTCATTATTGCTGAGTAAATTGCATCATTACACTTTCTGCAAAATGTGTTACTATTGAATGATGGAGACATCTTAATGTTCACAGCTATTTTTCCACATTAAGAGTAAAATCCCCAAAAGTCTAAAATCTTTTTGGATATAGAAGACACCGGTGAGGAATCCAGCTTCCACTAGATTCGAGCTAAGGCAGCAATCTAAAAAATTAGTAAGTCTGATACTTCTGCAATAAGCAACTGCACATCTGTAGGCCCACTGAGCTCTGCCAGTTTCCATGGGATGAGGTTCAGCTGGTATCTTATGACCAGTGCCTGATTTTCTCTTTCCCAAACTTTGGAGTTGGGTCACCCAGCAGCAGTTTTTGACCCTCCAGAGCATGTTGTGAAGCTTAGTTACTTCACTTCATGTTAAACTGACTGATTAATGGGGTAAAATCTTTGTATTTGAAGTGGTGCAAATTTCTTTTTTAATTTCTACATTTTCCATGAGTTCAAGGAGTAGAAAAAACCCAGATGATATAGGTGTCATGAATTTATAATTTTTTCCATACTGGTAAAAATTGTCTCCCAACAAAGGAGAAATAACAGATGCATTCATAGCAGAATATGACTAGTAGAACACCTTTATTCCTCATATATAGTGGGATTTCCTTTTACTTTCTTTGCTCTGAGACTGAAAAATTACTGAAGTAATCATTTAGCTTTAAATAGATGTGAGAAAGTCTTAAGAATGTATTAAAAAAATAAATAGCTCATTGTTCACCTGAATGATGTTAAGCAGGTTTGTACCTCTAAGGCAGGATTAAGTTACGTATGAATATGGGTCTGTTGAGCACATCTTCTGTTCTTCCATTAACCCTTGCTTTCCACTCCTCCACCGTGGTGCTGGCAAAGCGCACGCCTCCAGCGGCCATCAAGCACATTAGCATCTTTCTGCTTCCACCAGTGCTGAAGAGCAGCCCCCGTGCTCTGCAGCAGAGATGTCCCCCACATCTCACCTCTCCCATCGTCCCGCTGCTCCGGGGCTCTCCTCATGGCATGCCCAATGGTGGCAGGATGTAGCTGGGCAAACAACCCAAAAGGAAGAACGTATCTCACCAAGAAGCTCCACTTCACAGCTGGCTGGCACTTGCGTAAGGGATGTTTCTGCTTTTAGTCAAGCAATGCTAATATCCCTGCTGTTTCAGAGTACATACAGTAATTTTGCTCCCCAGGTCCGAAGGCAAAATTCTGAGATAGCTGAGATGAAAATTCTGTGCACAGTTGATTTTTAAACAAATAATTGTCAATAACTGAATATTGTAAATATATGTATGGGTTCACACAGCCATTTTGGAAAGCTGGGGAGCAGAATCTATAGTGTGTGATTTATAGGAAAATATAAACTAATAAGTCAGCATAATGAATTAAGAGCAGTTATTTATCAAAGCAGCTGATACTGAAGAGCGCTCCTGACTAGTATGTAAGCTAGAACAGCTCACATGAACCATGTGCCAAATTATTTTGAACAAGTAATGCTGCAAAATCTCTGCTCATCCAAGTGTGTGATGTGCATAATTTATTATGCTCTATATAACTACATACACATAAATGTTGCATTCTATTTTTTAATGCTAGACAGCTTTTCATGGATACAGGAAACAACTATTTTGTGTGCAATAAGTATTCAATACTAATGAACTACTGACTCCTCGTTTCACTATGTAAGACACCCAATAGACAAACACTTTTCACCTGTGAGCTGTTAACTTCATTTGCCCTCATACATCATCCTTTCCTAAAGAAATTAATTCTTGCCTAGTATGGTGTTCTCCAGTAGTAATCTGTTTTTTCTAGAATGAATTTTTGAAAGAAAAAATACCTCATAAACATTCAACCAAGAGCAATCCCTGTAGTGGCATTCTGGGAAATTACTTCTAAAAGTATTTTTGAAAGAAACGGGATGTATGAACTTGATTGTATTACTTGCAATATTGTAGAAATATGAGAAATATGAAATCAAACCACCCTTCCCCCCACAACAAACCCTTGGCACAAAAGAGACAATAATATTAAAAATTAAGCACACAGACAGGAAAAGCAGGTCAGTTCTGAATATTTTTGAAAGACGCATCACCTATATTGCTGCCATCCTGGGAGCTCTTTTGAGTGATTTAGATTTCATCAGTACCAGGTAAAGCAGAATCCTGTGCAAGTAACAGCCTTAAATAGCAACTTTGTTCAGGAGTTGCATGTACAAAGAGCTTAAAAAGCTTCAAACGCAGCACAGATGATGGTAGGCTAAATAAATTATATGCTTTCAGGGCTCCTTAACAGGGTGGCTGTAGTCAACACCAACACCTTGAATATGGCATGGAAAATTAGAAGGTCATATATTTAATTATGCGCTTCACTCATTTCTTCTGGAATGGAAAAAAAAAAATATGCTCAGAATCGGGTCTCCAAGTGAGAACAAGATAGTGACCTGCCCTTTCCTGCTTGTGCTTAGCTTTAGCAGGCTTTGTCTTCATTATAACTTAAGAGTTTACTCTTAGAATATGTAAGATATCCAAAGCCACTAGGGCAAAAAAGGCAGAGAACCTTCTGTCAGCAACTATCTCTGGTTTTAAAACTTGACTGCTTTATATGATGATACCATCAACACGCCATGTCTACCTTAGAGTTTTAATACAGGCTAATTAGAGTAAGTTGGCAAGCTCATTCAAAGAAACAGTTTTGTATGTTAAATAGGATAAAGACCGGGAGCCAAAAATACTTTTTGGTAGAGAGGAATGTAATCAAATTGTGTGAGAATATGGCTGGGAATCTGGTAAGATAGCATATTTTTTCTACCACCACCCACAATTTCTTTCACAAGGTTTACTATGTGATCACAAGGCTTTCCTTTTAACATTATTAGGACTACTACTTGTAAATATTTACACAGCTCAGACCTGTTTTGCAGACAAAGCGCCTGCAGGATGGCATTAATTAGTAGCATCTTTCCTGTGTGCAAAGTTAGGATATGATGAAAAATGGTTGTTGTGCACAAGGTCAGGTAATAGGGTTGACTAAAATGGAGCTACACATTAAACAAACAAAACAGACCCAATCTCACAAGGAGGCCAATGGGCTTTTTTGAGCTTCTGAGCAGCTCTAGGAATTTTATCCTTGTAATAGGACAGACTAACTGTAAACTGAAAATTTTCTCACAGAGCTCAGTGCTAACAAGAAGCATCTGGAATCAGGCTTCCATGCCTTGTAAAATGGGCTCTGTGTTTTTTGCTGCTTCATTTTGTTTGTAGTACAATCAAAAGCATTGCCCCTGTCAGCATTACTCTTTCTTCCATTATTGTACCATAGTTTCAGATTTAATGTCACTCTATTCGGTGACCCTCTTTCTCTTCAGGCAGAAGACTTTTTCAACTGTAATTTAATTCATACAGTGGAGTACCATATTAAATAGTAATTACTTTAGAAAGAGAAAGCATGCATTTAAGTCACTCAAACTTAAAAACTGATAAACTTTCAGGGAAAGCAAGCCTCAATATCTTGTAGCGCACCATAATAGTGCCATCAAATCACATGACTGTGCTTTTTTATATTCACTTGTTGCACACAGATCCAATCCCCAGTAGCCCTGTTTGCTCCCCACAGTACTGAGTGCTGCATGCAGAACATAACTGACTGCTGGTGGGCAAATCTAAAAACATTCACGCTTTAGTTTCTTTGACCTATCTTGTCAATGGAAATGAAACACATCTCTGATTCAACTGTATAAACACTTTATTTAGGAATACACTGAGATCCAGACTTGAGAAGGAAATCCAGTTCTGTTACATAGTGCACTGAAAATCCTTTGCAAGGACTTAAGGAAGGGTATTTTTAAATACATATTGCATATTATATGTGTATATTTTCAAGAAATAGTGAAATTATTGAATTATTTCACTTGATTTTTAAAGGACAGATAAAAATGTTTATACTCTAAGCACTTCTGGCAATCGGTCACATACAAAACGTTCCTTTTCAGGATTTCTCATACCTTCCATTAAAGAGCACCCTTCTCTGAAGTGTATCAAGATGCCAAAAATAAAAATCTATTCCTTCAATCACTAATCAAGTTACTGCACATTCTCAGTCTCTTGCAAATGTGAAACAAATGCATTCTAGCCTATCTTCGTTATGGCTTCAACCATTTATTTAACAAAAAGGTAGGAACAGGCCAGAATACCATGAATCACACAAAAAAACATTGATAGAAACCAGTTTTCTCCCTTCACACTTCCACCCTATTTTATCTTCTAACTTCTTTGCTTTTATCCCTTATGATCTCTGGAGTACACTGATTCTGTAGAGTATTGCTAGGTACAGGGTGGCATAGAGAACAAATGCAGGCCTTGGATTTGAAATTGAGGTTTCTGGCATTTGCAGGATTTGTAGATCTACCAGGAGACACTGCACTATCTAATATCAAACAGGTATGTAATATCATATATGCTTTTAAAAATATCACTACTCCAAATCCTGATTCATGTTCTACAGGAAGAATGTGGATGGCTAATATTAAAGAATTGGTTGCATATAAAACCGTGTCAAATATTTTAGAATTCTTTATGGACATCTTTGTAAAACCTACAGGAAGGGTGACCACTGCCAGATGCACACAGCTGACTCATTTCTTTATCTCCCTGTCCAACTGCAGTCAAAAGGGAAACTACAATTGTTCTTATCAGGGTAACACTGGCAAGTTTCCTCTGAAGCTAAGGAAAGTATTTTATTGCACGTAAGATGTGTCTGTAGAGCTCCCTCTTGCATTAGGAATACAGCATTGCAAGATGGTGACCAGCAGAAACAAAAGGGTATTTGGTCTCCTTTGAATTACAATTTTAAGTTGTCATACACCCTTTTACTCCATCCGTTAGGAAGCACAGAAGAAAAATATTTTAGCAGAAGGAAAAGAACAATGTCCTAAGGAAGAGTGGAAAGGAGAAAGGACATACTGGCAAAAAGTGAATGGCTAAAGTCTCCCAGGGAATCCTGCTACGGTCTTGTGCATTGATTTAATAGAATGGTTGCAGCACTCCATGAATGCTTGAACCTTAGCTTCAACTCAGGCAGGATGCAATGCTAGTTATATTTTGGCATGTAGCACAGAAGAGTTTTCATATTAGTTATCAAAATAGAAGTGCCTACTTTATGCAACTATAAATACAAAAAATTTGTAGTTTCAATTGACAGTTCACACTGGTAAATGATTTAAGAACTTTTTCTTTTTAACCCATTTCCAGATTCTTGGAGTCCTTCCTTTAGAAAGACAAATCACATCATTTCAGATTCCTATCTCCAGGACAGCTGCAATAATACACTTTGTCAAAGCTTCACAGAGCTACATTAAGCATTTGTTTTCTTGATAAAGGCATTTTTTCTCCTCTTTAGATAATTCATAATAAGTACCTCTTTTACAACAGCAAGCTGTCTCCTCCAAACTCATACTGGTCAATTTGGCATGAGCTTTTCTTCAGCCAAGAGTGCAGCACATTGCTTCTTAAGTGATCTTTTTATCTCCTTCCTCCTGTTCTGGGAACAGGAGGTTGCAGAGCAAGGATGTGCTTTGTTGTGTGTTTCCCAAGGGACCTCACTGGGCTTCGTGCAATGCCCATGCAAGGACTAGGCATAGTTAAACAAAGATTTTTTTTTTTTTTTTAAATAGGGGAGAGACAGTTCAAACAAAATGTGGAGCCATTACCACATGACTCCTTCCCTTAAGCTTAAAGGGAAAATACGCTTTCTCTGTAAACCTGCATTCACTGTATATCCTGAGCATAAACGAGAAAATGTGTTTTTCAAATTAAAGGAAAAACAAACCAGTACATTTTAAAAAATCTAATATTTTTATCTTTTTATATGTTCTCCAGTTGAAAATTTAGCAAAATTAAAGAGACTAATCCTCATTGGCAGTTTCCTGTTCACAAGCGTCATCCCTTTCTTTTTCAGTGTTTTCATTGCATTGTTTCTAGTTTCTGCCACTTCTTGGTAAATGTGCCTACTACTACATCACTCCCTCTTAGATTTAACTCTTACGCTTGTTAACAGTGTAGCAGACTACAGTCCTCGGAAAGAAAATCTCACTTAGCTGGATCAGTGACAGCTGTTCTGAGAGAAATACAGATAAAAAAGATAAATGCATTTTTCTTTAGCTGACCTTGTATTTATATTCTAACCACAGCAGCAAAGCAGAAATTAGTATGACTTTAAAAAACCTAATGGTAGTGGAAAAAAAAAACTGTAGAAATGGTTTTGATGGCATGTACAGTCACTATGTATTCTCCAGTTCTTCAGAAGAACTGGGAACCACCATTGTACCAGTGAGCGTCACGTCCTACAGTCATGGACATGAAAACCAATTTAAAAGAAACAAAGTAAAAGGGAAAAAAAAAAAGAACTACCACAATACAGTCCTGTGAACATGCTGTGCATCTCCTGAATGCCTTTGGGTCCTCTTCAGTAAGCAGAAGCCTTGATTCAGCAAAAGGTTTCCAGTTCTTCAGTGCAAAATGACTTAACGTATAAATGTTTCCTAGGTATTGATTAAATCATATAGTTAAAATGGGATATGAATGACCTTGTTGGATCAATATGTAGGAAGTACAGATATTCAACAGCTGAGTGTCAAGTCCTTAACACTTAGAAAATTCAGTCCCACACTTTGCAATTTCATTAAATTTTAATACATGAAAATAGTATTGTTTATTTGTCAAAGTTTGCAAAAAATAAACTGCGTTCACTTTAACTTTTCTTTACAACTGAAGCAACAAAGACAATTATAATTTATATAATTTATTATAACAACAGGAAAGGGACTAGCATTCTTAAATTAATTTTAATTTGGTGGTTTGTAAGTACTTGGCAATAAAGTTTGATTTTCTCCCTAGTTTGTCTTTTATAGCATGGAGAAATAAAGATTTTTCATGTATTCTAGCAGGCTTGTCCTTCACAACAAATCCACTTTCCAATTCACAGAAAAGTGAGTCTTATATCCAGCAACGCATAACTAAGCAAAACTTAACTGAAGTGCATTCAGCACATTCAGTTCCCGAAGTACAGTGACATAAATGATTAACTTCCACATACGTACTGAACGCTGTAAGGTATTCTGAGGCAAAACACCTTTAATGCACAGAAGTCATGACCATGACTTCAGCTGTGCAAAAGTCTTCTGCTTCTATAAGCCAAAGATGGATATTTCATACTTTCCCAAGACTTTTCTTAATGAAATATCCCACTAACTTCTGCGGTCTCTGCTGATACTCCACAAGTACATCATGTGAGCTACTAATCTGATCCCCTTCAAGCCGATTCAGAAGAGTGACACACACTACAGCAGCTAGAAATTAAAAGACAGCATTAGTTAGGAACGACATTCTGGAACTTCTACTCTCCAAAAGCACAAACATTTGAAGGAAAAGCTAGAAGATTAGAAACATGAGATAAACCAACCCCTCCAAAACTGGTGCATAGTACCATAAAATGCTAGGGGACTAGCATGCTGTGGATGATGTAAAAAAAAGTTACCAATAGCTTAAGACAACTGATTGCCACATTAATAAAGCACGATCTCTCAGATTGCTGTAGATACTTATTTTTTATTTCATGATTCTTATGGTTTTCTGGATAGGAGTTATATTTCACAAGTACCCAGGACCTGACTGGTATGGAACGATAAGAAACACTGCTCTAGCAGATGTAGTTACAGCCCTCCACTATCTACCTTTTCCCCAACACAAATCCCTGTGCTGCAGATGCCATCCCTCCAGAACCAGCAGATGAGCTGCCTCGACATCGATGGATGGGGAGCACTGCAAGTACATGAAGACCTCAAGGCTCACCTCAAGCTCATCTGCTGCCTTGTGGTAATCAGAGCCCCAAAGGTAAAATCCCTCCTTTCACCAAGCTGAGCTCTACCATCACTCTCCGGTATTTGGGGTTTCTGCGAGTGACAGCTTGCAGAGCACAAGCAGTAATACACATTACAGACCTACCAAGTAGAGACAGCAAAAGGGACCAGGCTCCCTAACAGCTCACTGATAGCATGGGTTGGGTTTTTAATCACTCTCAAGTCAGTAAGAACTGAGGAAGTCTGATATAACTGTTGGCCTTTTTGCTTATTTTTCTCCATTTCATCCTCCTCAAGTTTAAGAAAGTTTGAGAAACATCAGTGTTTTAAATTGGCAAATTCCTTGCTAAGAACAGTGAGAGACTATAGTTAACATGGTAAGTAGAAAGGCACGGTATCACATTATTTGTAATTGGGGGTTTTTTTCCTAATCTCTAATGAAAATTAGTTAGCTTGTGTAAAAAAATTAAAAATTCTTTTTATGATTAGGAATGGTTTATTCATGATGCTACTAAAAATCTTCAACTGTTTGGGAATTAAAGCCGTAAGTCTACACAAAGATTTTCAATTTGATATAAAAGTATAGAAAGTGATTATGGTTTTATATATATAAGAATCACCTGATTGCTTAAATTAACCAGTTGCTTCCTGTGAACTTCAAAAACTAATTGAAGAAAACAAAATAATGCCATAGGGTAATTAGATACTTTAATGATATGTGTGCTTGCCACAGGCTGGAATAGCAAATGACAGGACTAAACTGTTTAAGAAACGTATGACAAAATTTGTGTAAAGTTTGAATATGTATGACACAAATCAAACAATCATAGCAACAGAACCATAACCTTTTGCATATAAAAAACCTAGTTCTGGTATGTTAACACCTCATTCACAGTTTTTACCACAAACCGCTGCAATGCAGAAATATTCCTACAGCTTGAATAAAGTGATTTTAAGTTACTTTACCTCTGACACCACTGAGATTACACATTGCAGCAAATACAGAAGACTCCATCTCTATGTTTCTGACACCAGAATCATAAGCTTCCTTCAAATACTGCAGTTTTTCTTCTTCACTGTATAAGCAGATTGCACCATCCAATCTGCCCTGTCCTACAAAGTAATTTTGCAGAAATTTTCAGTGAGGAAGTCACAGAACAAATTCAGCTTCTAAAACACACAATTATTGCAGTTTCCCCTATACAGCCTCCAGCTTTTACTACCACTTTTTGTTTTCATGGGCAAGACAAATAGGACAAATCTCAGCTACTGCAGAGCTTCTACATGTTACTTGTATTTTTTATAATGTGAATCACAGTAATTTAACTGGTCTTCTCCAATTTAAATTCTCAAATTCATAAATGGTAAAATGTAAGTAGTACTTTCCCTCATGTGGGTCATGTGTCAAAATTCAGCAACAAACTTTAAGCTGTATGAAAGTGCTGCATTTTTTTCTATGTTTAATCATTGTCTAGAAAAACTGCCAGGCTTCAAAATGCCTTCCTGATGCTACCTTAAATGATGAATATTTTATTACTTACAGACTCTCAAAGGTAAGAGATGAAGCATCTCTTAAGCTAACTAGGTAATACTATTACCATTTTTTGAGAAAATTAGTTTATTCAAACTATTCAAGACTAACACCTACAGATAAAACAGCAGCAGGTTATATACAGTAAAGTCAAATTACAGCGTTTTACTCAGTATCTCTGTTTTCAGGTGATGTACTCCTAAATTAACACCCTTGATCCTGTTCTCAGCTTTTGCTGTATGAGTTGAAAACATTCCTGACATCTTTTTTTAGTGTAGCTTGCACCTGTGATTGGTGTCTGAAGAGACATACAAACTGACAGCGTCTGCTTCTGACCAAGCTTGAGACCACATTCCCCTTAGCATTGCACCCACTGTCACCTACCCAGTAACAGCTACAGAAAGTAGTATCAGGTGCTACCTACACTCAGTTCTCACAAGATTTGAAAGATGTTTGTGAATAGACTTGGGAGATCAGAAAAGCACCTGAATAGCCTATACATTTATCCAAAGTAAGTCTTAGAGCTCTGCCTCTCCTACATAGCAGCATTGACACAACTCAGCAAAATATTGTCTTCGGTTGTCTTATCACTGCTTTGCTCAAAATTTGCACTGAAAACAAGTTCAAACACTTCTTTTAGAAAAAAAAATACTTTAGATACTTAAATAATGGAAAACCAAACCAAACCAAACCAAAACAACCAAACCAGGCACAAATAATCCTCTAATCCTCTAGGATGCCTCGGTAAATCACAGATATTTTGTGACAAACATACCCAACTGACGAGTACGTGCAAAGCGTATAGTAGACTATATGTATTTCAGAGGATCTATTAGAGCTGGGGGGAAATAAACGCCCACAAAATTAGTTCAATACAGCAAACTGCTAAGCATTGTTTGATTTGCCATGTATGAAAAATAGTCAAAGTAGGGAATGCGTTCTGTTTAGTGAACTGGAACGTTAATGTTAAAATGTTATACAATGTTTATCTGTTGCTGCTTACCAATATACTTCTATTAAGTCTGTCACTAGCCTTACCTTCATAGAAATCCAAAGTGCACATAGTATTTCCAATGACTGTATTGAATTGATGGATTTCTTTACTGCATTGCATCAGTTCCTTAGCTAGCTGTTCATCCAGGTTTGTACTGCGGATTACAGACTTTCCCAGAATAACCTGTTCAAACTGAGGTTTGAAGGTGGCATCTACAGACTGTCTAGTTATAACCACCGAGCCTGGCTCCAGACCTGAGGGGGAAAAAAAATATAAATACATATATATAACTTCACAATGTGGTTAATGCTTTGTTTCCTCACACATAGACATACATCTTGACCAAATCCTGCTTCTTTTAAATGTCACAATTTTGCCCCTGAATTCACCAAGATAATTTTTTGTGCATGCATAGCTACTTCAGTTTATTATTACAAATAATTTCTGAAATAATGAAATTTTTACTTTTTCACTACATATTCTTTCTTATCTCATACAGGACAGAAATGTCTCTCTCATCACTTTGTCAGTTCTCCTAAATGCATTTGCTCTATCCAGAGAGACAGATACAGCCTTTTCTTTCAAAATTACAGAACCTAAAACATTCATCTCTTGTGCAAAACTGTTCTGACCATCAATTGCTTACGTACAGAGAGATGCTCTACTCCTACAAAGATGCTTTGGTTTGAAGAAAAAATGAAATCAAGAGGGGAAATACCTATTCCACCAGAGGTGCCAATGCGAATAATGGTTATGTTGGAACACTTGGCATGATACAACAGCTTGATCAGCTCATGCAACATGATTGAAATAGAAGGAATTCCCATACCATGCTGAAATGAAAGCAGAAATTCATATTCAACATTCACATAGACAATGAAAAATATATACAGAAGGAGGAGCTGGACAATATCTCTTTTCTGCTATTTTTATGAAATGTCACTTAACTCACTCTCACAAAAACCCTAATCTACGGGCCTCCTGAAAAACTACTGCAGGTAAACAGAAAGACTTCTACTGTCTTTGGTGGACTAATGATGAAGTACAGTATTCCTAAAAATCATTAATTATAAAATATTTACATTCTCAGAAGTATAAGCAGTGTCCTTTATTAATAGTTGACAAATGCACTTCATCACAGAACTTTGCTTAAACACAAGAAAAACCTCACTGCTTTTTTACCAAACTGAAATGCTAATGAATAGTTAAGCTAAAATTTTTCAAAACACAGACACTGTGGCTTAGTCACAAAGTTCAGCAAATTTAAGTCCACCTCTGCTTGTATGATAATGTGATAATTACAACCCAAAAGAAAGGGTGCAGTGTGATACTACTGTTACACAATTAAAGTGTGTATCTACAAATTAAAGGTATGAGATTTTAAAATGCATACATGAGTTGGCAGCACAAGTCCCATAGAATGCTACTCCTAAGTTATGTTACCACATTTGACAATGCCACTGTAGCTACTTAGCTATGGATGCATTACAGCCATTTTTCCCAATACCTCGCATGCACTGAGCCATCTTTTTTTCCCCATTGTTCAGGATATGGAACAGGGATGAGGCACCTGTGAGTCTGCTCAAAAATTTATGAGGCCATCCTTTGCAACACCTCAGTTGTACACGGAGGAAAAAGGAGGCAAAAAAGGAATGGTCTCAGAGATTTGCCCTTTTACTGGAAAGGGCTAAAAAGGAATTCCTGATTATCCAACTGCACTATTTTAAGCATGGCTAATACAATCTTAAAAACCTGACTCCACAAATGCTTAAAAGAAATGTGCATTCATATTTTCTACTTTGAAGAGCATCACTGAACTGTGTCCCATGCCTGCTTAAGTGAAGTACTTACACTGACTGACAAAACAGGTCCCACTTTGTACATCGCGTAACGGTCAGTTCCCGCACAGATGTTAGGATAGTCACAACCAGGGCTCCCAAGCCCCAGTTCTTCAGCTATGTAGGCAATGAAAGCTTTCATCCGTGAAGGACTTCCTCCAACACATACGAACTGGTGCGGACAGTATTCAACGAAACAAAATCAATTGCATGATTTGGTATATCAAAAGACATGAAAAGATCAACATAAGGATGCAAGCACCTTCAGTTAACACACAGCTATTCCCAGATGTGGTTCTTCTCATAATCATTCTAAAAGGCCATGAAGAAAAAATATGCAAGAATTCTATATAGCACTCAAGTGCCTTCATACTGTTTAAACTAGTAAAAGACAGAAATTGACTTGAAGGCCTCTCAACAGGGAGTTCTACCTGAATAAAGATTGCAGCATTTGTCTTTCTGCTGGATGGAAAGTCAGAATAATTATCCCTAATTTTGCTTGATATTGAAAGTGACAAGAACCCACAAAATGTTATCCCTTTTCCATTCATTCCTCAACTGGCAGTATTTAGTCTTTTTTTTTAAGACATTTCTGCCTTCTGCAGAAAAGCTGAGACTTGCTGAATGAAATGCAACTTCTTACCTTTACATCTCCAAACAGTGCCGGGAAATCATGGGTACCAGTCCCAAGAGCAAAATGGTACAGGATGTCTTCTTTCATTTTCTCCAGGTGAGGGTTGCAGAGATGGATAAAATTCTCTCTGCCAGGATAGCAGCAGTTTTAAACACATAGAATCACAGGATAGTTTAGGTTGGAAGGGACCTTAAAGATCATCTAGTCCAACCCCTCTGCCATGGGCAGGGACACTTCAACTAGATCAGGTTGCTCAGAGCCCTGTCCAACCTGACTTTGAATGTTTCCAGGAATGGGGCACCTACCACCTCTCTGGGCAACACGTTCCAGTGTTTCACCACCCTCTTTGTAAAAAATTTCTTCCTTATACCTTGTCTGAATCCACCCTATTTTAGTTTAAAACCATTACCCCTCATCCTATTGCAACAGGCCCTACTAAATAGTCTGTCCTCATCTTTCTTATAAGTCCCCTTTAAGTATTGAAAGGCCACAATAAGGTCTCCACAGATCCTCCTCTTCTCCAAGGTGAACAACCCCAACTCCCTCAGCCTTTCCTCATAGGAGAGGTATATAGAGTATATACAAAAGCCTACATCAAACAGATGTGAGTTTTGCAAAGTCAAGCAGTAAATATTGGGAAATGCCAAACCTAAGCATGGCTGCACTACCTTATTTTGGTTCCTCATGCATTACATTAATAAAATCCTGGATCTCATAATCATCTTACATCTCATAATAAATCACATATATTTAACATTCCATTAATTGCACAGGATGAAATTGCTGAAGAAAAGCCCATAGTGGGATGCATTTGCAACAGTGCAACCTTTAACTTAAACAATATTAAAGCTATGAACCTGTGTGAGCAGAACCATGGGATCGGGACCAGGGAATATTCAATAGACCACCTTACTACACAGACAGTCTACAGCAACGTTGAAAAGCAAAACTGGCCTCTGTATTTTGACTGACCCTCCTAGCCTCCTGAGAGGAGTGGGAAGATTTGGGCTTAAAGACAGGTCCAAAGGGAATTTCTGGCAATTTAGCTCACTGTAACTCTGTGACATCCAGCCAGAAGGAAAAATATGGCATGAGACTGGTAACAACAGTACAGAGGATCCGAGGTAGGAAAGAAGCAAATGGAAATCTGAAGCAAAGAAAAAAGCATGGAAGCGAAAAAAAATGCAAGAAAAACAGAAAGAGAGGAAGAGGTAAAGAGGTTAAAAGATTTCAATTCCTCTTAAGCTGCTTCTTGTAAGGAAGTGATAGAGCTTAAAAAAAAAAAAGAAAAAAGACTTTCTGAACAACAAAGAAACTACAAGGCAAGGAGGGAAAACTGAGCTACTTAGTATGTGGGATTACCTTCATGGAACATTTGGTAGTGGACTAACTAAGCAAGCTGAATGATTCATAAAACGTCTGCCTTCTGTGAGTCATGTTTTAAGTTCAATTGAAACAGGTAGACTAGTCAATAATCATAAGCTTAAGCAAAATACTGGCTAATTACTTCAAAGTAGTTTCCAAGAGATGAAATCGAGCAATAAATATCTTCCAGGCACAAGATGACTTAATAGCTTAATGAAGGCTCACTGCAGTCACATCATGGCTCAGCAAATCCAAATGCTTTGTCAGAGGAGACAAACAAAAGAGTCTGCCTACAATTTATGGAAAAAAATTGTTAAGACTTTGTAAGAACAACTTTGAAGCCTAAACATAGGTGTTTAGTGCTACTTTAGATGTTTCAGGTTATCTTCTCTGTCTTCTAATGCCGCTCCAGAAGAGCAGTGCTTTTCTGTAGGTCCTATGTCTTATTTGCCAATCCTGTGCAGGATGTACTTATTACCTTAAGAAGCCTAAAATGGCCTAGATCCCCATACTGAGGTCACTTAACTGTTCTACAAAAAGCAAAGAAAATAGTTACAACTCCAATATTATGAGTACATCAATTGTTTCTGTTCTTCAAACGCTCTAATGTCACTAACTATCCAGCAGCAGCTGCAGGGCCAAAGTAAGAGCTATCATACCAATTCACACTATTTGTCTCTTCCCAACCTAGACTTCCACCTTCAGCAACTGAAAAAGGAGCCCAATAAAGCTGGTGGTTCGTTTTCCCTCTCAGTAGTAATTCCTTCCTATCTCCTATGTGTCCCATTTGCCTGTCTTCAAACAAATCCCACCTGAGGTGGAACTAAAAGCTTTAGTTGCCTTTTTTCTTCCCTCCAAGAGACCTGTTTGACTTCGGGAGAAATAAGGAGCAGGTTTATGGCTCTTCAGAAAGGCGTAGGCAGCCCAGGAGTTTGCCAGCTCACATGAGCAGAATTCCCAGGCTCCCTCCTCTGAATTATTCCTGTTCGGTTTTGTAGGACTCTCTGCCCATATTTAATGGGTCATTCACTAATGCAGATCAAATAGCTGGCTGCGCTGATGTTTTCCGGAATGGCTTTTATATACAAATATGAGATGAATTGAAATCACTTTACAATTTGTTCTCAGGCAAGCAAAAAAAATTTCCTCCTTTATGAGAATACAAGCAATAAAAGCTTCTCTTCAGGAAATAAATTGGGAAAAGGCGAGGCCTCTATTAGAAGTACAGGGAAATTCATGTAGTATGTGCCAACACCACCATCCTCATGCCTGACCTAAACACAGTTTCCTTCCTCTGCAGTGTCTGTATTTCACCTTTTTCATCCCATACCCCACCAGCAACACTCCTCAACCCACCGCCTCATGGCAGCTAGGGGCTGTTACTAACTTGTACTGGTTATCTGCTCATCCAGATCTAATTGCAGACTTGGACCCTGGGGGTAAAATGGGCAATAAAAGTAAGCATATTACTGTGTGTACATAGGACCAATGCCATGGATTTACAGTAGAGGCAAAGTTTGCCTGATAAAAATCTTTGGCCTGTAACTTTAAGGAGAAGAAAAATTATTCCCCTCACACTGTTGTAAAGTACCTAAAGCTCCTGGGGGTTTAAATGAAACATTAGTATCTGAGGACTAAACATGCATGTATGGTTTTACTAAAATAAGCTTAAAGTGAGGATTAGAGAAACAGATTGAAATATTTGTTTAAACTCCTGAAGCAGGTAGGTCTGGCCATATGCAGCAACCAAAGTCAGCATTTCAACATCTCACTAGATTTAAAAAAAAAAAAAAAAAAAAAAAAAATTTCACATCTGCTTGGAAAAAAATCACTGTTGAGATAAATGAAAATGGTTGGCCAGCAAAGCCCTCTATGTAAGTGTGGTTAAAGCAGATAAAGATTCCATTTGTCAAATCAGCTTCGACTAGATAATTGATGCTATAATCAGTATTTGTATCATAAAGTTTATCTTAAACGAAATGAGTATGTAATGAGTTTGGGGAGGAAGGCAAGTGTAAACTTGGACAAGATAACTCATTTCTGACTCTTACTTTGAAGACTTTTCGTCATCAGTTTTCTTCTCATTTGAGACACCAGAAGCCATGTATGATTCTACCTAGAATTATATTTAAAAAATTAGAGGTAAGTGCATTACAATAGTCGCATCTGTAAAGCTAGCATTGTTTACAGTCAGAGAAACCTTTTATGTAGATACTATCGTGAATATTAACCCCCCAAAATAATCCAGTCACGCTACAGCTTTTGTAACTGTAGCAAAACGAGCATCTCCAATTTTTTACAGTTGAGCATCACCACTTTCAAACCACTGCACCCTCATTAATCCCTTGCTAACTTAAATTCTATCTCACCACTACTTGTTCTGTGGTATAAGCAACCGGCTCATGGGATAGAGAGATGTAAGTCTCACAGCTAACTACCTAATCCTCTTTCTTCTATACCTCCCACTGCGACAGCGACTGCTGAACTAGTTTTAGCCCTCTTTCACCTCTGGCTCCAGCATATCTCCAAAGCTCATCTCTAACTGTCATATGCCTGAAACCTGAATCCAGGAAACATCTTACTCATAACATCCTCTTCATTAAACTCCTCCTCCTGACCTTAAGAGCACTTCTATCCACCTCAGCCTAAGGGTGAGGAAGACTAAACCAAAACATGACTCAAAAAAGCCACAGCACTCTATCATCCATCTTTAATATATTTTTTCCAGATGCATTGCCCTTATCTATACCAAAAACTTTCTCCTTTCTGCATTCTCCTTTACATTTGAAGAGGCAAATACATCGCTGAGGCTTTGGTGCTGATATGATGATAGAATGATTAATTTGTTATTATTTTCAGAAGTGACTAAGGCTACGTGCCGAATTTGCTACTTTCTGGGAATGACCTTACAGGAAATACTGAATCAGAAAGTTTTACTCCACCCTCCCTTACAAAGGGACTAACAGCACATCAATTATAACAGACAGGACTGTAATCCTTAAAACCCCCAGGATTACACTAGAAGGAGATGGAAGTCAATCTTGGAATAGATTTATGTAACACGTAAATTTTGAAACTAAAGAAACAAATGAAATAAACCCAAAGTCTGCCTGTTAAAAGCCAATGAATAATGGAAATGTATTAAAATGTATAAGGACTATTAGTTTTCTTCATTTAAAATATATTAACCTTTATTTAAAAGACCTAAACTTCACATGTACTAGATATACTAAACGTATATTAGAATCTGCACACAAGGAGCTAAAGCATAAAAGTCGCATTTAGAATCAATTATGCATCCTTATGGCTGTATGACTTAATCAGTTACTACAGGGAATTGCTATTACACCATGTACATTACAGGAAAAATGCCTCATTTGTTCCAAGGAAACTATGCTGCCATGAGTCCCAATAGCAAGGAGTTGGAAGATAAGAAGAAACAGCAAAGTGATTTTTATGCACCTAGATGGCGAATGGCTGCAAATCAACTGAGGATATTCATTCAGCTGCTGTTCACAGTATTAAGCAACCATGTGATTTTTAACAGTGTTCTTGGCTCTGTGATCCCCTAAGTAATGATGCACTTCAAAAAACTGAGAACAAAGTTCTGACAGTCCAAAGGTCCCGAATACCCTCCCCAACAGCACCCAGCCGGAGATGCCTTGGCAGGAATAGAAGGAAGCAACCAGAAAGCAGGCTTCCCACGGCAGACCCTTACAGCAATCAGGTACTAGCTGACAGGCAGCCAGTTAATACACAGACACAAAATTCTCACGCTGTCTAAACAGATGGAAATTTTTATAGCCACGTCAAAAGTTTCTGCAGTCTTCCTCAGCCAAAGTTAAAACTGATGTTCAATAATAGTGTGCTCCCAGCAGGACTGAGCTCAAGAAAGGGCACAGCTCACTTTAGCGTGTGTGCAAATCTGACCAGTGTCTTAAAACCCTACAGAATCCATTATAATTACTCTCAAATTTCTTTCCGCCCCGCGCCCTCCTTCTCTTTTGAAAGGAAAAGCTCAGTTAACGATAAATTCAAGGAAAAGCTCTAGTTTGGTGTTGACCCACCATTAGAAAACCCGAAATCAATGCAACATTGATTTTTATACTGTGGCTTCCCTCCTGAGGCTGCACAAGCTACAGTTCGCTCCGGACGCCCATCACCTCCGGCCGGCTCCCCGGGCTGGGCAGCTCCCGCCCGCCTCAGCCCGGGGACGGCGGCACTACCGAACCGCCCGCCCGACCAGACCCCCCGCAGCCCACGGCGCGCGCTCCCCGCGGCCCCCCGCCTCCCCACCCGCCTCCGCCGCTCCCCCACACAGGGGTCCCTGCGACCGAGAGAGGACCGGGGGGGCCGCAGGGGTGGGCGGGTGTGTGTCCCGCGGGGCTCGGTCTCACCTGGGGCGGCGGGACCCGCCGCTGGGAACCGAGCAGGGCCTCTCGCTGCAGCCGGCCGGGCTGTGGGCAACCCTGGCCGAGCCGCCTCCCGCCGCCGGCGGGCACCGCCCCGCACCGCCCCGAGCGGGGGCCGCAGCACCGGCCGCGGTTAACTCCCTGCGCGCCGGCGGCCGGGGGTGCCCGGGCCGGGCGGTGCCCGCGGGGCCGAGGCCTGGGAGGGGGGGCGGCCGGGCCGGCTGCAGGGGCGCCGGCTGCTCGGCGGGTGCGGTCGGCTGAAGGGACAGGCCGCGGTGCGGGAGGGAGGCGGGAGCAGCGCGGGTGTCCCGCCGCTGCCCCACAGGAGGCTGCGAGTTTTCGGGAGGATCTTACCACCAATATCGACAAACATACAAGCACATGTTGGCACCCTGAGGAATGTGGAGTCAGGTTAGGTTATATGGACGCTGGTGTCTGTAAATTTGTCTTTGTACAGTCTGTCTTGAAGCATGCTTCTTCCACTCGCACTTGGGTATGCCATAAAATGGTGGCGAGAAAAGAGCACAGGTGACTTCTGCTTACAGAACAGAGCAACCAGCTGGTTCAACTGCCTGACCAGTTCAGGCCTGCCCAACTTAAAGCATGCAGCTAAGGGCATTGTCCAAATGCCTCTTAAACACTGGCAGGCCTGGGGCACCGACCACCTCTCCAGGAACATGCTGCATCCCTAAAACAGCTAGCCTGCAACTGTTTGGGTTTTTTTTTTTTGATTCAGAAAGTTCTCACAAGTCCCCTCTGCCTAAATAAAAAGAACAGCTTCTCCACAGCTTGCTATGAAATAGCTCCTAGCTAATCTCAAAGTTTTGCAAAGGAAAGAAATGTAAAATATACCCTCAGCTCCTAAAGCTAAACATGTGAGTGCAGCACAACTGTAGCTCTGGTATCTCCAGGGTTACTTTGATACGGCTGACTTTGCTGGAGCTAGGCCAATTAGCCTGAAAAAAGTGAAACCAAGCTGTGAATTCAGCTCACACCCTTTTTAGTTCTGAAAGAGTGGTACCTGTTGCTCATAAAGCACCAGTGAGATCCTGAACAAGAGAGGACATCTGCAATAGGGATCCAGCACATTTAGCTACAGAAGTAACATCTGCTATGGGAACAGAGCTACAATCCTAAAAGTTCTGAAATTATAAGGAACCTGGAAAGAGACACTGAAAAACATGCTTAACTTGACACATGCTTTCCTAGCTCTATCTTACAGATTCAAATCTGTAAGAGAGATGCAAGGCCAAACATTACTTCTTCCAAGGTAAGATACTTAGTCTTACTTCCAGGATACTTAGACTGGCAGAACTGGTTCAAGCTAGAAACAGAAAAATTTAAAATTACTAAAGGATTAGCCTTTTCCATCAATTTCCATCAAGAAATCTAAAGTAAAAGAAAAAACATAAAGCGCTTTGCAAGTATAAATTTAACATGGTTCATACAGTAACTGAAGACATTAAACCCAGAATCCTGCAATACAATTTTAAAAATCATTTTTCATACCAGAACCACACTGTAGTTTGTCATAGTAGGAAATTCTTGAGAGACAGAACAACTTAAACGTTCTTGGTACATAACCTTCTATTCAACAGGAGGGTAAACACTTTGAGCACAAGACATTGCCAAGATGTTATTTATTACGAAATCATGTATTGGGCATTTAGAATAAAATCTCTTAATATCCTGTCTCACACCAAAGCACTTTGTATAGAAATACAAGAGAGAGAAATCACCTGCACGCAGATGCATTTCTAGCCATGAGCAGCATACATGAGAAATTGCCCAGCAAACTTAGAAAAATGTTACCTGTTCAACTTTTGTAAATCTCTGATAGGTAGAATGGAAACACGACCTCCTAATGCATCTTCTGTTTTTCCGTTCCTTGAATATTTGTCAACACTTGAAAGTGATGGTAGTGGACAATCCAAAGCAAGCACCTTAGAACAGTAATTTAATTCTGTGGAAGAAACTTTTCCTTTAAATAGGAATACTGACTACATCTTCATTTCAGGGTCCACTGAAAAATCTGCTTTGGCTCTCAGAAAGTTTGTCATTCAGCTATATATTAAGAGAATAATCAGTGTAAATTACTTCTTTTGTAAAAGAACAATCAGGTTAGTGTAGTTACCTTGTCTGAAACATTCAATGCATCACTATTAGTTTAATAATTGGTAGTAACCCTTGTTCTCAGTCATCTCTAGAAAACTTTTTTTACCTTTAAACTTGTTTTAAGCTTCCTGGTTTTGTAATCTTTGGGTTTTCATTCCATTTTGTATTTTAGTGGGAAAGATCCCTCTTAAGTAAAAATACATAATATGTTAATAAATGTTATTTGAGAAGGATGAAAAATACACAACTACATCCTCATTTTCAGATTTTTATATTGCATTGATGAAAACTTGCATATATGGGAAGTAAGGCTGGCTGTCCTACAATCAAAAGTATACTCCTTCCTGCTCACCATGTACCATTTTTATAGTCAGTTGGTCAAATAGTTCAGTGCAGCTTACCTACTGCATTTTGATTCTTCAGTTATTCTGGATGTTTAGTATCATTACAACTATTAATAGGATGACAAAACATGCTAAGACTGAACTTCTGTATTTTTATCTCTAGCTTTTTTCCAGGCTATATCACAATAGGAAACTACATTCTGAAAAATAATCTGCAGAGAACTACAAAAGCAGAATATTGGGCTATTTGTTTACGGAATTTGTTCATCCTACAGCTTTTACAACTAAGTCTGCATATTCAGCACAGATGTAAGTATTTAGGAAATAGATATGCTGAAGGCAATGAAATTTTAGATGCTTAAGAAATGCATATGCCAATTCAATTTTTGCTTGCATTGCTACATAAAGAAAGTTAATGTATATATACCCTTGATCTCTGAAAACATTTTTATTTTAGTCTTGTCTAAAAAGATATAAGAGGTAAGAATTAAGTATACATTTGGTCACATTAAAATGAAAACAGCCATTAGAGTTTGGTACAGTTAAATGGTGGCATGTAAAAGGAAAATTAAGTTATTTTTAAATCTGTATCTGGAATTCTCTTTTAAAAATATTCACATATTCAGTGTAGTTGGATGTAATTCATAGAATGTAACCACGCTTTTGTTTTATCTTTGGGCTTGCAAAGCAATCAGTATTCAAAAAAAGAAACTATCTCAATTATTACTTAAAGGCATTCAGTTCAGAGATGGAGCACAATACAACTAAATAAATGTTTCAGCATTTAAAACAATTAGGCTAGATTTTGTAAGTAAGCGCCCAGCTTTTGACTTCAGCATCTCTCTTAAAAACAAACACTGAAAACCCTTCTAGACCCAGAAGCTTCCACTGCTTTGACATGGAACTGCTGATGACTTTGAAAACTGCCAGTTGCGTGACTGCATTGACTCAGAAGTAAATAAAACAACCTAACTACTGGGGTAAGGTGAACTTCAGCAACACACTTCCAACCTTGCATTCAGTTGGAGCTTTTTTATTTGTTACACTACTTTGATTTCATGTCCCAAGCTGTTAAACTGTTAATATTCTAACTCATGGTATTCAAACCGTGATCCATGAAGACTCAACTGACCAACAGTGCAGATCAAACATCTCTTTGGCTTTACTAAGGAAAACTGAGTATACATTAATGGCACGTTAGCAAACTTTAAAGAACTTGAGAAATACCATGTGACTATTGCCTAATGGTGACCAAGGTAAAAAGAGACAATTATTACATTATATGGTTTACACTTTTAAAATATCTGAAAATCAACACTATAAACACTTCTATGAACGCAACTACAGTAAGGCAAAATAACAGTGATGAGTGACCAAGTTAGCATCTCAGTCATCTTTCTGTCTCTGCCTCTAACAATTTCCTAGGAGTATGAGTTTTGGATGAGCTCCAATACTGAGGAAAAAGCGTTCAGAAGTGAAGAGGACTTAGACATCAAACAACTCAAGGTAATAAAGTTACTTTAGGAAGCTTTGTACAGATTTTAACAAGGTGACAATAATATATAAAAGAATTATTAAAATTCTTGTCTGCAGGTCAGCAGTATTGCAGTCACACAAGAATTTTTATTTTATGGAATAGATTTTGAGGTGCTTTGGCACAGCAAGCACCTTCAAGTCTATGTGAATAGGTGATTTATAAATTTGTTAATACTTTTAAATACCTATGCTAATTGGGTCAGTTTAGGGGTTTTTTTGATCATAACATTACTGTCTCCAACTTTTTCAGTAAATTTCTACTAAACACCTTTTAGCAAACTTTCTCAAAAAAAAAAAAAAAAAAAAAAACAAACTGATTCAATATATGCTTAAGAACAAAAAACCTTCTTACTCAACTGTTGAGCATTTAAAACAATGCTTGGCTGCTTTACTGTTAAGCAGCTTAGCTCCGGAGAGTTTCATCATCATCTCATACTTCCCCTTTCTTTTTATGTTTCAGCCAGTAAAGCATGTAACTGCAAATAGTATTTGCAAAAGAAGTTCTGCCGACGGTAACAGTACTCAAAAGTGTTGACTGAAAGTGAGACTGAAAAGTAGTGCTATTGCTGATAGTGACACCTTTAAAGTATGCTAGAAAGGCTGGCATACACAGAATTTATTTTACTGTTGCAGTTTACCATTGGTGGGCACAACAAACCCTTTACTACACTTTTTTACAGACACTGAAAATAAAAATTATAACCTTATCCAAAGACTATCGAATAAAGATAGCTGAATTCCTGGATAAGGCATGCTCATATGACTGCATAGTTCTGAAAAACTCATAAAATGTTAGTGTTTGGAGAACATCATGCAGCTACTGCTGATTACTGCATTAGGTGTAACAAATTTTATAGTTGAAATCTTAAGAGTATCAACAATTTGCACATACACAAATGCTTCACACAAGTTTATTCTTTAGTGCTTCTCTACAATTACATGTGACAGTTCTTCTACCGGTCAGGTTTTAATACTATGAGGTCCAGCTCTGGCATCCCCTGGTACTTTAGCCTAACAAAGCAGATTTCACCAAAAGCTCTGCTTTCACTGAAAAATTACTGGTTTCAATGCATCTGAACATAATCCACAGTACAAATTGTAAGTGAAAACAGATATAAGGTAGTAATTTCCCCCTCCTCCCTCAGATACAGCTTAAACTACACTTTTTTATATTTGGAAAATTTTACTGACTAACCAATAACTGTACATTTGGGTATTTTCATGTTTTAGCCTTTTATTTTTGTAAATACAACTTAGTTGAATAGTTGGCTAGAATGAACAGCAAAGATGGTCTCAGATGCTGGGTCTAACAACATCAACAGCAAAATTTACACTAACTTTCACCCTTTATGGTCATGAGCAAAAGGCAGACTCGTTAGGGAAAGAAAAAAAAAAGAACATACATTTATTACAGACACTAACAACACATAACAGAGTAGGACAGTGAGAAGCACTGCCACATCTTGAGAACACCTTCCCCCCACCCCTCCCTTCTTCCCGGGCTCAGCTCTGCTCCCAATATCTCTACCTCCTCCCTCCAGTGGCGCAGGGGCAGGGAATGGGGGTTGCAGTCAGCTCTGCCGCGTCTTACATCTGCGGTGGGGGGACCTTCTGGAACTTCTCCCTCTGCTCCATCGTGGTCCCGCTCTCACAGGAGACAGTCCTCCACAAACTTTCTCCGACTTGAATTCCTCCCACAGGCCGCAGCATTCCCCACACAGCTCCGTCATGGGTCACTAACTTCCTCCGACTGGAGTCCCTCCCACGGCTGCAGCCCTTCCCGAGCTGCTCCGGCGTGGGACTCCCCCGCATGCTGCAATCCTCCCAGCACTGAATTACAGCAGCGGAGTCTAGCTTTTTCCATGAGGCCCCAGCCTTCTTCCCACAAGACCCCGGCCTTCTTCGGGCACAGCACCTTGATGAAGCCAGCAGAAGCCACAGGCCATAAATCAATGTCTGCTCCACCGTAGATCTCCATGGGTGGCAGGGGGGGCCGCCCTGCCATCTCACCACAGGATACAGGGGGGTCTCTGCTGCGGCACACCTCCCCCCTCCTTTCTTCCTCCGTTCCTCCACTGACCTTGGTGTTCACACAGCTGCAGCAACTCCTCCTCGCAAGTCCCACTGCTCGTCACCACGTCCCTTCTTAAATACGTTGTCGCAGAGGCGCAGCTGATGGGCTCAGTTTTGGTGCAGAGGTGGAGCTGGCTTGGAGCTGGGGGAGCTTTGAGAAGCTTCTCACAGGGGGCTGCCCCTATAGCCCCCTCCCCTGCCACCAAAAAACTCCACCACTCACTCAACCCAGGACAAACACACATGGGAATAGTGAACTATATAAGCCATATAGGGCTCTACTTTTTCCAGTAGTCTTTTAAGTTACGTATTACAATCCTGAAATGGTGGTTTTGACTCGTTGCTTGCAGGTGCTGGTTCAGACTATGATGGCTCTGAATCTGCAATAAAAAAATATTAAAGTTCTTAGGATAACTTCTACCACAAGAATAAAAAGATCAACTAAAATTTTCAGTTTCCCTCTCATGTTAAAATGCATACAAATTCTAGTACTTTTAATTTTTAACTAGCAAGACAGACAAGCTTCTTACAAAGTTTGCAATATGATGCAAATCTATAACTCATTTGTGTTGGGTTACAGATTTACATATGGAATGGATTATACCTCCTGTCTGATGTGTCTTGGACTTATCCTACACAAGAGGTAACAGAGAAAGTTCCATCTCAAAAGGGAGCTGCAAGGTGCTCATACTGTCAATTGCTTTGGATGAGCAGACAAAAGTACTCAAGTGGGTAGAAAATACAAGCACTACCTTCAGTGCATGCCTGAAAGAATTAAAAGGACAAGGTCAAAACTGAATTAAGGTACATGTCTGGATGAAACCATACTGTTAAGAGCAGGTAAAAAATTTCCTTTTACACCCGGATACAGAATCAGTCTCAATCCAAATAGTAATGATTGATAGAGGAGGGCAATACAAGCAGAGCAGGTGTCAGGTTATCTAAGAATTTGAGAAAGAAAAACATGTAAAAAATAAGATGTATATATATGTCAAACTGTGCAGCATACTGACTTTTCAGCAAGCCTTTATAATATATCCAACATTTTGTTCTCTATGCATAAGTGGTATAATCAAACCAGTATCATGATTTCTCTGAAAAATCTTCAGCTTCCTTTATATCCCAAATGTTCCATTAGAGACATACTTCACATTAAAGAAATCTAGTATCACCAAATGAATGAATTTGAGGTTTCAAAAATCCCAAATCCTTTCATTTTACTCATAGTAATGGAAAAGAAAAACATCAGTGCACAAGAAAGTTAAATACACTCTGAAGACAAAAGAATAATATTCAAGGTTTTCTTTCATGCTAAGGAAGAGTACTTTTAGGCTCCACAGTTGAACTGTTATGTCATTGTGCCTCCCAAGGCAGCACCCTCATGATCAGTTTGGATACTTATGTTGACTTTGGAGAGTGGCTTCTCAGGTTATGCACCCTCCTCTTCCAGGTCCAGACTGAGATCTGCCTTCATCCTTTAGTTTTATAGCAGTTTTTCTTTTGAACAATTAGATAGAACTTCTAGTTTTCTCTTTACCTGTTTTCTTCTGATACTCACCTGGAGGAAGAGGTTCTGCACACATATAAAAAAATTACTGTAGATATATTCACAGAAGTCACAAAGATGAATTCAGGAAGTGCTAAAAATGTCACAGAAACTAAACTAACTGGCCTCTAAAACTTTCACACATTCATATATCAAGGTCAAGGTAGTCATGGCAAACCCCAGTGTATACACAAGCATTCACTGATATAAATGAAAAAAAAAAAAAAAATTCCAGCGCTTGCAATGTATATATGTTCAATAGCATTTTAAAAGGTTGCTATAGAAAACTGATATACCCACCATGGTTACCAAGTCATTGTGAAAAGCCCAAGCAAAAGGTCTTTGCCAGAAGTAAGGGGAATTTTCCACCCTTTAGCCTTTTCATCTAAGTGTTTTCAAGTGGTGTCTTTCATAGCTATTCTCATTGTGAGTAACAAAGTAAGGTTTGAAATCATAGGTCAACACTGGGTAACTTTTTCTATCTAATAAAACTATTGCAACGTCACTGTCTTCAATGATAGGCATATTTTTATTTTGACAAATTTTTATGAACAGTGACCTATTTATTAAACATAAGTATCGATGACATTTGTCACAGAAGTTTTCAGAAAAATATTAGGGCCCAAAGACTATTCACAACAAATAGGTAACAGGTATTTTATGGTCTGCTTAAATTTAGGCAGGACGATGGCTGTGTCTCTGCAGCACTGTACAAAAAACACGTCACACAGAAACCCTTGGATCAGAACAGAGTATACTTCTGCAATTGTGAAGATGAAAAAAATCCATGAAATCCCCTGCCTTCGCTAACTACAAACAGGAGCACTCTTTTCTTAGCAGGTCATAGAGTATTGTAAGCTAAGCATAGTAATTCAGTAAGTCTCACCATATTCAGAGAGCCACACAAATTATTCAAGTTACCCTCTGCTGTTACCTTGAGATCCCAGCTCACTTTAAAAGAAACAGCTTTCAATAATTTTACCTTTGGACTGCTCACTATTTTCTGATGGTTCTTGAATCTTTTTTTCCCCATCCAGGATACTGCTGAAACCAGTCAGTCCCATAACCATTGCTAATTAATTTGCTAAATCTTACTGCTTCACTTTTTCTCTGAGCAGGCCTGTAAATCCAAATATATTAAAGAAAACAGTAGCATAAGTAAACAAAAATGGGGATTAGGTAGGAAAATTTTATTTGACACAGAAAGGGCAACAGCCTTATAGCACATTTTATTTCTAAATAACTAAACATATATTCTACGTGTAATCTTCTAAGAAAAAAAGCAAAACAATACAAAAATCCCAAAGCACACAACTGTGCCTGATTCAGTAATGTGTAATTTTACATGAGAAGAGCCATCCCTTTTATTCAAATTTTACATGTATAATACTTACACAGTTCTGGCCCTAGAGAAGGAAAAGTGAAAAAGGGAAATTACACAAAGAATATGTAAGTAAAAAAGGCTGACAATACTCATTCTGTGCTGTACAAAGGTGAAATTTTGTCAGAGATTTGCTCTTAAGTTTGTTAGACAGCTTAATCACTTATTTTGCATCATTGACATACTTCTAAAACATACTGGGATTACTGATGACTGTGCAATAAATTTTTAAGACAAAGTATGCAGAAACAACCCAGTTGTGCACACTGCTGATTATGTGATTACATCACATCACAGGTGACGTAATAATTTGCTTAAAAGACTATTATCTTCCAGGTGTTCATTACAGTATTTTTGCTGTGCCTGACCTTATATAGGCTACAGTTTGTGTGTTTTCTTAAAATGGTAGTCCTAGTTCAGTAGGCATAGGTTACAGAGATACAAGTAACAATGTACATGATCGTTTGCATCTGTTCACTGGTATTGAGAAAAAAACCCAGACACATTAGAATATAACAAAAGTGTGCTACATGAAAACACGCAACTTTATGCTTAGTTTTCCCAAAGCAGAGTTATACTGAATAGTTTTCCTATATGACTTAAAGTGCTATTATTTTAGTTGTTTGTAAAACTATTTTAGTATCACACTTGATACCAAGTTTAGTAGCAATAAGGATCCACAAAGTCTATGCACGTACCCACTAATCTATGCAGTTTCAAAAGGAGTTATATTATTTGTATGCACAAATAGTTGCAGGCTTATGAGTTTAATGGATTTCATAAGTGTACTACTTACATAGGTGGGAAAGAAAGCTTATTTTTCCCACTAAATTCCTTGTTTGTGGAAACATTCGGCATTCTGTTTGGATATTTAGGGTTTATAGCCGGGAGCTTTACCTGTGTTAGAGAAATCATAACTTAATAAAAGGAGTTATGATAAAAATAGCCAAGAAGATTATATGATCATATAACCTTCAAAAGTGAAGGTTATATTCAAGGCCCTAAATGTCCTCAAATTTTACTATCTATATTATTTCCATAAGTAAGAGTAAAGGAGTATAAAGGAATAGAAAAAAGATAAAGCATCACCTTAGTTATTCAAGATGACATCAGCTGTTTGTTCAGTATGTGAATCATGCAAAATGTGCTTTCCACAAGCTTTTCCCTCAAAGTACGCTTCAACTCAAAGTTAAGCTTCAAATTCAAACCTACCCACTGCAGCCTCTCATCTTTGCTCATTTCTCTGTATGCAGTGTATGAAAATATCCCAGTCTTACTAAAGTCAGTGGGACCAGAAATTAATTTCCAGTTTAATTACATTAATTTATTTTTATAAAAAGCATGAAACATACCATATAATAAGAAAACAGTTGTGATACGTTAACTAAGAGGTTTGAAATTTGAAGAAATACAGATGTATTTGGGGAAGTCTACAACAGAAAAGTGTATTTTAGTTTTATCATCTTTTACTTGCTAATGACAGGTGAAGAAAGACAGTGTTGATTGAAAGGGAGAAAGATAAGATGACACCCAGAACGCCAGTGAAACGACATCACAAACACAGTAGGACTGAAAGATGGAAAGCCAAAGAGTAATGAAGAAACATCAGCAACACCTATCAAAGCTGTTTATTATAACTTCGATCAAAATCAACAGCTGCTAAAGTGTCAACTTACTTCCCTCTCAAATAAAAGCAATAAATTAACTATCTCAAACAACTCCCAGATATTTTTCACTAATAGCTGATAAGAAATTGAGGTTAAAGAAAAAACAAAACATCTTTAAAGACTATTTATAGCTTCCTTCACTTCTTGAAGAAAACAAGGGGAAAAAAACTCCTGAAGATAGCACAAAATTTTCAAAGCTTATTAACAAAGGTTTTGTATTATACTAATATATCCTTTTAATTAGAACTTACATATTATTTGATCATTTTCTCTTTCAAACATGCAACACAGGAGAGTACCCCATAGGATAAAAGATATTACTAGCAGGTTATTAAAAAAAAGATCAGGGTAACTAGAAGTGAAATTAATTGCTCTGTAAATGTAAAAGTACGTTAAGGAAAAAGATACTTTCCACCTATGTGGACATGCCTACTGCAATACAGTTAACAGAGCAAAAAATTATTAACAGAGTAAAAAAATTAGATGCATTAGCAGCAGTTGCACTTGAATTGCAGACACTACAAAACAACTCCCATGAAAACATCCATGAGGAGAGGATTCAAAAATAGATCTAAACGCACTATGGATTCTCAAGGAGCCCATGCACATTTAGTATGGAAAGAGCAAAGAAAAGTATAATGGCATTTGAATACATCTAATCAGTGAACGAATTAACCAGCCACTAAAAGAAGCAGGCTTAAATGTTCAGAGTGTAAGTTTTCTTATTTTCTGGGAGAAAGGCCAGCCTAGGACAGACAGTTCTACTGATTCTGAAACAGGACGTCAATGCAAACCAACATGTTAAGTCAGTGCTAAAATCCCTACAGACTTCAGTGGAATCAGTTTCGCATGAAGAAAAGTTCTAGAATCTGGTAAAGAATAAGTGGATGGGCTAATAGATTTTTGCCTGACTGATGTTATGTTGAAACTTAAAGAGGTTAAAAACTGGGCCACTTGTCAAAGAAGAAGAGATGATAGTAGCAAGAGCATGCAGGGATGTCAGAGGCACTGATGTCAGATGAAGGGGGGCTTCTGTTGTCCAACTGGGAGGTTAAAAAACACATTAGCTGTTTAGAACTACTTTTCAAATCCATTAACACTATTCTCTGCTGAAACAACCTATTTGTGTTTTACATTTCAAAAATGGTATCCTATTGTGCAAAAAAAATGATAGTGCTGTCTTCTGTCTATCATTAAATTGTACCATTTCAGATCTGACATACCATGGAAGTTTCAGATCCAGGACACTGTTACCTATCATTTCAGCTGACAAAACCGATTTAATTAGACAAGTAGAAATCATCAAACGCAGGCAACCTTTGTCACATATTGAAGGCATGATGGCACACAGGGCAACACAGAAACACAACCTGTTTGATAAACAGAATATATAAATAGCAGATGAAAAGAGATGAGACTCTCAGCACCAAAGTGCTAGAAAATAAAGCCTAGTAATTAAAGAGTTAATTAAAGGGAAAGGGTAAAGGGGAAGCCTCCAGAGATTTTGTCTTGAGACAGACAAAAGCCCAACTTCTAAAGTAAAGGAAAAAATGGGGAAAAGAAAGGCAGTGAGAAAAGACATGAAGGTTGCTAGCAAGTCTTGTGCACTGTTTTAAAGGTTGTCTTTGTTTTCTTGGTATTAAATGAGACAGGCTAGCTTCAATTGCAGCCATCAAAACATTCCATAATGTTCAAATCAGCTAGCGAGTGACAAGAGGAGCAAGGGAACAAATCAGAATTTGGTTTTGGAGAGCATCTGCAATCCCGTCAGTTGCTGTCTGTTACTTTGCTGGGCAAATTCAGCATTAAAAGCAGACCCTCATGTCACTACACCCCAATGGTTAGAGCTGAGAAGGCATTTTCACTTTGACAAGCCTCTATTTTAACAGCCATCAACTTTCCCAGATAACGTATGCTATGTAAGACATTTTTTACATGTTCTTGGTTTAAAGCATTTTTTCCCTTTGCGAAGAGATGAAGATGGCAACAACATACCCTAAAAATGACTACCTACATTTATTATACATACACATTTACTACTCCCAGATTCAAGAAACATGAATGTGGTATGTATTGTATATGAATTGTCTGGCTGGTATATGGATACCTGCTGTCGTGGTTTGAGCCTGGTCGGCAGCCAACCACCGCAGCTAATCACCCTCCCTTCCCCCTCCCCACCTGGGAATGGGGGAGGGAACTAGAGTGGTGAAGGGAGACTCACAGGCTGAGATAGGAACAGTTTAATAATGGCAATAAAATGAGAACAATGATGTTGATAGGGAAAAAAAAAAAAAAAAAGAAATATAGAAACAGGCAATGCACAGTGTAACTGCTCACCACCCGCTAACCAATATCCAGCCCGTTCCTGGCCAGCGACCTCAAGATACCAAGATCCCACAATCACAATCCCAGAAGCAAGAGAGCTCCTTCCCAACCACCCCTCCTTTATATAGTGAGCATGACGTTCCATGATATGGAATATTTCACCGGCCAATTAGGGTCAGGTGCTGTGGCCGTGCTCCCTCCCTGCTCCCTGTGCCCTTGCGCACGGGCAGGACATGGGGAGTCGGAGAGTCCTTGAAGTCTCAGCAGCAGCTGAAAACATCAGTGTGCTATCAGCATTCTTCCCATACCAAACCCAAAGCTAAATTCAAAACACAGCACTCATCTAGTCCCTGAAAAGGAGTATTAACTCTATTTCAGCCCAAACCAGGACACCTGCTGCCAGCATGGAAAGCTAAAAGCTACCAGATTAAATCCTGGCTCCCCTGCAAGCAAGGGAAAAATTCTAGATCACATTTCAAATCTCATTCTGAGGCAAAATCCTGACCTCAGATGTGTAATCCTTTTGCCACAGCACATACATATGCATGTATGCATATATACACACATATTTCAGCAAGTGCCTGAAAGAGATGACTTCAGACATGAAGTAGTAATCTTACTGGTTTTGCAGGAAGACTGCACAATGCTGAAGCTAACCCTGATACCACCTCCAATGGATCTCCCACCCATACACAGGCCTGTCTCTTTCTTAAGGTCATACTATTTTCAATGTAACCCGGCTGGCCCACGTGATGCAGAGGTGAAAGGATGCTTCCAGCTGGGCTAGTAGTCCGTCAGTTCGCCATGAGTACAAAGGCTAAATCCTTCATGCACTAACATATCTTTGCTGCTTTGCAAAATTCCCAGAAGAACGAGAATTATCCCCATAATTAAGGCGTTAGCGCGTAACTACGGGATCCATCTCGAGGCATGGAGAACCATGCAACAGTCCCCTGGATCTCCAGTCCTCCACTACACAGTGACAACCATACTATGAGGAACAGTGGAGATTCTAATACTTCAGAACAAAGTGGCATTAAGGCTCAAAGGTTCAGAGCAAGGGTCCACTTGGGAACAATGTTTTGCAAACTGAGTCGAAGAGGTACCCTTAGAGGTTAAAATGTTTTTGCACTTCTCCCTAAGGGTACCCTTTGGGATTTATCTCCAAGATTGCATCACGCATCTCTCTTCTGAACAACTGCTTAGTTAGACTGGACTGAAAAATGTTTTCAATATGTTCAGTTTCAATACTTGAGGTAGTTTGCTGCTGCAGTATCATCACATAGTCAAATAAATAAATTGAATATTCCTTAGAAGTTTGCCTGTGGTGTTTTGGACTACATCTCTTACATTTCAGCAAACAAGATATATGGTGAAAAAAATAAAATCAAGACTGATAGGGTTCACTTGAAGACTCTTCAGGATAGTACTCTTAAGGCATAGGATAGAAACCTCCTGTAAGAGGAGATACAAGAAATAGATGTGAAAGAACCACCATGGGATGTTTCAAGATACATCAGATGCTTTTCAGAGTACAAGAAAGGTACTGTGAAAGACAACCATTTCAGAGATGGTGGTGTGGAGGCAGAGCTAAAGCTAGAGACAGAGAATCTGCCTTCTCAGGCACCTAATCTTAAAGAAAAAAATTTGGTAGATTTAGTACCTTAGACAAAACTCAACTTCAGCTTCCAGAAGAACAATATAAATTCTGAATCAGGACCTCAGCAGATTTGGAATCTGAGCTGAATATATAACATATATTCACTTTGTACTTGGTGATAAATAAAACACATGGGAACTTTCATTCACATGAATGAACAAAACTGGGTCTCGATCAAACTCCACCCAAACAGAAATGGACCTCAGTCGCACTTTACTGGTCACCACATGGACTTGAATTACACTTACTGTTATGAAAGTTAAATTTGACTCTTAGAACACTGAAGATAATTGGTTCTTAAAAGACAGTGAGGGACAGCACTTCCTCTCCATCCTACTTTGATCCTTTAAGAGGCTCCATGTCAAGCTAAGTTTCTATTTTCAGTGCCTTAAATCTCTGATTGAAAAAAGAGTTCACCTACAAGCATCAAGCAAATTATAGTTTAAGCATATGTTGCTTGTTTGTCTGTTTCCACAGGTTCAGTAAACATTCCCCAGCCTTTTCAGAAATGAGGTTCCAATTTATGCAAGCCATTGTTCTGAATTTGGATTAGTTACCCATCTCAGCAAAAGCCAAGGACTTTTTTTCCTAAAATGTCCAACATCTGCTGCTCTGTTCAAAAGGGAAGTACTGGTGTTCAAGTACATCAAATGCCTTTCCATGTATACTCCAAAGACCTATGGTAAATGAGGCAAACAAAATCACAGAGGATATTCAAGAAACATAAGGCTTCAGCATCTAAAATGGGCAGGGAAGGTGAAAGAAGGAGGATGGGAGAGAGGTTTCCAGACAAAATGCCAAGGTCATCACAGAAAGGTTTGTCGTGGGCACAGCTTGGGCTATACTTCTTTTGTCTTTGATACATCTTCCATTCAAAGACAGTTAGGGCATTAGATCTCTTTGGGCACTCTCTTGAATTTTAAGCTAAAACAAACTCTTTTTTCAGAACAGTCTTCTGTTCCTTCCTCCTTCTTTATTCTTCCTCCAAGATCACTAAACAGTAATTCTCTTCACCAACAATGAATTGCAGGGGAAATAAAGCATAAGAAGATGGAAACTAACTACTAGCTTTCATTCACACCTAAGTATAAGCATCATATAATGTGATTGGAAACTGCATTTCTGGTTCTTATGCTGTATCTGCAGCACTTAAGAGAAACACATCTTCTCATTCTCTAACTACAATATAAAAATTGCTACTGGAATACAGAAACTTGGATGGACTACAGCTTCCATTCTATAAGAACCCACAGGCCCAGACAGTGTCTTTACAAGCTCTACAAACAAAGCACTATCCCAGAGTGCCTCTCCATCCTACCTTCTTTTTCTCTGAGTTTCCTTTGTCCTCAGCATCACGCTGCCAAACACTTTCCATATCAAAATCAAAAGGCACTCTTCTTGTCTCATAACTATTACCATAATGGTCATCAGCCTTAAACTCTCTGTGAATCATATAATCTGGCAGGGAGGAAACATAGCTCCTGCAAGGAAAGATTTAGCACGTGTTTGTACAAGGGATATATATCTTGCACTTCAGTACAAAAGTATTCTGAAATGCAAACAGGTGAAGAGAGAACCCAAGAAGCTACGCGGGGTCTCAGCAGACTTGCCATGGCTCATCAGTCGCTGGGGGATTGGAGCAGTGCGAGTACCAGTCAGGTGCAGCATATGCTGCTGGAGAGGACTTCATTGTCGCAGGTGTGTAATGCTTCCGTCGGGTCTTAAGAGAAAAAGACAAAAGCAGCTACTTTTCTGATTTATTATCTGGTTTCAAAAGCATTACCTTTGTTTTCAGGTTGCTCTTTTATCAGGAAGAAATGCTTGCTTTGTTCAGTAAGGAGCACTTGTCTCCCTTGATAAAAGTCTGAACCTTACAGCATTGCGTTACGCTTGTACCTTGTTTTTCTTGCTGCAAATGCATTAACATGTACCAGTCTGTTAATTCATATTTCTGCTCTTAAGTATGCACACAAGTCATCTGCTCAAATTCCTGAAGCTTCCTTCTTTGATAAAGGAAGTAACAAAACCACGGATCACCTTGGTACAAGAACAGAGTACGTACCACACTGTAACAAACTGAGTATCAACACCAAAAAACACTTTATAAACCTGTACCAAGTTTTTTTATGATGCTTTTTTGTGACATCATTTTCACTAGACCACTACTTAAGTAAACCAAGCATAAATTATAAAGATCTCACACAAATGCAGCTAAACAGTCATAATCTACTTAGATATACACATTTTGCTAAAAGGTACATATGCACAACAGACTGCAAGGATGTCTTGACAGGGTGACCTCTTACTGCACATTTTCAATCACTCATTTTTTCTATGGGTTAATTTGAAAATTCCAGAGGATTCTTCTCTAGTATCTACGAACACTTTCTACCACCACAATCAAGCACAGCCAAAAAAAAACATAGAAGAAACAAACAAGCAAGACATATGCTCACCAGGTCGGCCTCCTTGCTTTGCCAGTCTGTCATAAACTGACTCAGTCTCTTTGATCCACTTCCTGCAGCACACAGATGGCACTTCAGGAGGATCTTTTGCAAGGTCACCAAGACCCAGAATCTGAGATGTTGGAGGAAGTGGGTTCTTCAAAGTTGCAGACTTCTCTGGTTGTTTCAGTGGCACGTGGTATTACCATCCTGCAATACTGGAAAAGAAAATACTTATGGTAAAAGTTAATTGCTAGTATCCCTTTTCCAGGCAACTAACAAATCGAGCACCCCTGAAACTTGAGCGACATGCTGCATTTCAGCTTGGAGACAGACCAGGCTTGCTTATTCTGGGTGTATAGTACACGTAACTTCTAGAGGATCAGATGTAACAAGGGAACACCTTAGTTTCAGTTTTGAAACAGTATTCTACTTTTCACATAAAGTGTTCTAATACAGGGGATCGTGCATCTTCATGCAGAAAACTACTTCCAAGATCACCAAGAGGAACAGAAGACAGCAGGAAACACTTAAGCCTTTGTTTTCCTTTCCTTCTCACACATTAACAAAAATAAAGACAGTACCTGTCTGTTTGCAGGTCTCTTGTAAAACAGCCAAACCCAATCCCCCAAACTGCCATCTCCACAAATAAAAAAAAAAAAAAAACAAAACAAAACCACACAATTCCCCACCTCTCTATACATTACTTTCTCAACTTCTAGTAAGCAAAAAGAAAATATTAATAAATCCTCATCAATGGGAAAATGGGAGTGGCAGACAAGAAAGAAAAAAAGAGTCTAAGGAATTATGGCATGGAAGTTGCACAGGACACTGACTGATGTAACTCAAGTGCAGCAAATGCCGTTTCATAGGTGTAAGGAAACTATCTTAAGGCAGGCAGACTATTAGGGAGCCCTTAGGTACACACAAATGTTAGCAATGCTGAAACTCTGCTCCAAGAAATAATAACCCAAAGCACTTGCTCTCCCTGGTATCAGGGGCAAAGAAACATTAGACCGTGCTTGCTGTCACTCCACTAATTGGTCTATCAGAACCTGCATGACCTAATTATCCCAAATGCTCTCCTTTTCGGCACTTTGTTGGGTTGACACTCTCTTGGATCTCTACTGCACGCCATGGCTTAACATTAAAAAACAAAATTTCCTCTAAAAGGCATCAGCAACCCCAGTCAAACAGGCTGAGCTCTACTGGGCTTCACCTAAAGGTCAAAGTGTTTCAGAGTGCTTTTTTCCACCTGACATTTCCTAGAAATCCTCTGCAAAAGGAGGAAATGCCATCATTCGGCGTGCAGGATGACACCAGGTAAAGCGATTTCAGGATGGCAAAAGCGCTCTGAGATCAGCCAGTACTTGAGAAAACTCGAGTCAGGTGGGAACTGGACAGCGAAGAAACGACGATGTCCCGGCAGCCCTAAGCAAAGGCCAGCGGTCAGCTCCCCGTTTTCCCACCAAGATCTTCCCAGCATCCATCCAGACGGCAAGCTCTCTGCCTGCCGCCGAGAAAAAAGCTCCTTCTCTCCGCCTTGGCTTCAGCAAGCGTCTGAAGCAGGACGGGCGGCCAGGCACCGCGGCTGAGCCACGCGTGACCACGGACACAGGGCCGGGGTCTAAACAAAACGGCGTGGGGGCTGCGCCAGGCCCTCGGTGCCTGCCCCTCACCGTGCCGCGCGTCGGCCTCCCTCCCACAGCCACGGGCCGAGGTGCCCGCCCGAAAGCCTGCCCAGCGGCAAGGCGGCACCTCGCCTGGCGCACCAGCGCGGAGCGGCACCGGCGGAAAGCCACCGCCACCACCCCTGGGAAAGGAACCAGCGAGGCGGACAAAGCACCCGCCCAGAGGATAAAGGCGCGTCACGGCGCTGCCGGAGCACGCGTGGGGACCCGCGCTGCAGGGAAGCCTGCAGGAGCAGCTCCGGCAGCGCAGCCCCGGCTGACGGGAGACGAAAGCCGCCCCTTCCCCGCCGCCCCGGCCGGGCCACAGACCGCTCCCGGGGCAAGGGGGACCGGCCGCGCCCCGCCCGCGGGGGCGGGGCCTCCAGCCGCCAGGGGCCCGGCGGAGCCGCCCGAGGCCCCCCCCGCTCCCCCGGTCAGGCGGGTGGCGCCATCTTCTGCTGCAGGTGCCTTGCGTCCCTCAGTTGTCTTGGTTTTCCTTCCGGCCCGCAGCGGGAGGGCGGCCGTGTTTCCTCCTTTTTCAGTGGGTTTGATTTGTGTCCTTGAGCGGTGCGGCTTCCTCTGGAAACTTGATCAGCTCCTCGCCGGCGGTCTGCCTTAGGAAAAGAAGCAGATCCTCTGAGGGGTGCAAGGAATTTTCTAGCAGAGCGAAAGGGGCTTGTTTATTCCTGATGAACTGAAAGGTTCCAAGCCTTTCCAGAGCTTCCTGGAGCAGCGAGGAGGAGTTGCTGTCTTGCAGAGCAATGCATGCTGTGTCTTGGGAGATGAGGCTCCAGGGGTGCAGCGCAGGGCACAGCCACCACCGTGTATCTCTGGAGTTTCCCTGGTTCCCCGTGACATACAGCTGATCTGAGGAAACACCCGATAGCCCCCCCTTTCAGGGGAAGCTTACACTAACCCGATAGCACACACACACACACACACACACACACCCTTCTTGGGATGCTCACCAGATGGCCTCCATCCATCAAAGGGCGGTAACTCCTCTGCGATGGAATAAGAAAGAACAAGATGGGCCATTGATGGTCCGTATCAAAGGACGGTAACTCCCTTGTGCTTGAATGGAAGGAAGACAGGATGGGCCACCTCTGGTGTCTCTTGTCCTTGAGATAGGAGAGGAACTAAAACCACGGAGCCATGAAGACAGAGGAGCTGCAAAGTAGCCCAGACTTGAATGACAAGGTGTATGGTGACTACAGGACTGAGTTTGCGCAGAAGTAAGGGTTGTGAGAAACAAGCCCACATATATATAAAAAAAAAAGTTTTATTGGGGTCAAAGTCAGTGGAGCAAAGAATACAGCGCTGGGTGCAATGGCACGCCCTGCAGCCAAAAGGGGCTCCCTTTTATTGTATAAATGGTTACATATTCATCTACCCTAATACATATGCATCACTACTCCAAGGATAGGGAGGGAATATTACAATTAGTTCTGAGAAATCATTAACATATCCCCCCACCCCAAATTCCTCTCATCGCACTTGCGCAGTGCTCCCTGGTGGTCGTGGGCAGGGGTCTGCAGATGAAGGCTCATAGTCTTCATTGTGTTCGCTAGCTGACCCTCACTTCTGCGCCAACTCAGTCCTGTGGTCACATACACCTTGTCCTTCAAGTCTGGGCCAATTTGCAGCTCCTTTGTCTTTATGGCTTAGTCATTTCAGTTCCTCTCCTATCTCAAGGACAAGAGATACCAGGGATGGCCCATCCTGTTCTTTCTCATTCCATTGCAAAGGAGTTACCATCCTTTGATATGGACCATCTGGTGAGCATCCCAAGCAGGGGGGGCTGTTGGGTTGTTGTTTCCTCAGATCATTTCCCTTCCTTCTCTTTTCCCAGTAGCAAATTATTTTACTTTTCTTAAAATTTGGGTCGTTATACTAATCATAGCTTTAGCCTAACTCAATAAAAGTAATAGTTCAATTACTTATAGCTGGAACAAAATTCTACTGTTACTTCTCACAATTCATCCTCTTTTTTTTTTTTTTTTTTTTTTTTTTTTGGTACTATATTTTGCTTGAGCTTACTAACACTTATCCTCATTCTTTTCTTCTTTTCTTCTTCTTTTGGTTTCTTCTACTATAAGCCTGGCTTTTTCTAATGAGTTTTTAGTGGCATCTTTTGTCTTTAGTATCATAACTTTGTGGGCACCAGCCAATGCAGCCATTTCAGGGTTTATCGACATTGCTGTTATTTGCATCCCATCAATACCATGAGATATTAGCCATATAAAGCAGGGTATTAAACATGGTAAGAACAGTAAGCCAGCATAACACAAAGGAAGAAAAACCCAACCTTTTTCCACACTCTGATGTTGGACATAACAGTAAAGCACTTGTTGCATGCGATTAGAGCAAACCATACCAGGATGATTAGCAGAGGTCCGGTATAACATGTACTCCCACCTCTCATGCCTATGGGTTTGCAGCCCACATCTGAGATAAAGGTCTTCTTGGTGGCGAGCACAGAGGTTAACCCGGTCTAGCCCTCTACTGTTTAACGAATCCATGTTTTAATAGTTAGTCAATTCAAGTGCAGCTCCTTTGTAGCCACTTCCTTTGTTTCTAAGCAAAGCAAACTTTTGGCACTTTCTGACAGTGTCCTTCCATCAACTCTCAGGGACATCCCAAATTCTGGGGACTAACCTCTTTTTCCTGTAAATAAAGGTTACAGTTCATGCCCCTTCCCCATACTCACAGTCCCTATTACAGTTATAACACAATTTTCTCCATCTGCGAGAAATACCACCTCCGGTGACACATTTCACATTCACACAAAACCCACGCTTCATGACATCCATACATACACTCGAGACAAGGTATTACCCTATTAGGTTGATTTTCTAGCAATGCCTGATCGAATCCAAAATGCTCATAATCTATTACCAAAAGCCACTCTGACACTTGTCCGCCAGTTAATGCTCGGTAAACACCAGCTTTTCCCTGACTTTTTTTTTTTTTTTTTTTTTGTGGTTCCCTATGCAGCAAGTAAGTAACTGAATGAGTAAATTTTCACAGTGTTACCTCTGAACCCGGTAAAAAAGCCAGTCAAACCACTGGTTAAGAGTCATTCAATCCCCTCCTGATGAATTTACTTAGTCCTTTGAGGGTGACTTGTAGTTGATCAGTTGATGGTACCACAGTCCACTCCTGAAGCTTTTCCACCGGTCCTTTTCCTCAGGAGGCATGAGTCCACCCCTTTTCTTTTGTTCGGATCGCTGTCTCAGTGGTCAGCAGCACCTGAAATGGACCTTCCCACTCGGGAGTTAATGACTGATCTTTCCACACTTTTATCAATACCCAATCACCTGGTTTTACATTGTGGATATTAAAATCCAATGGTGGTATTTGAGGCAGAAGCCCTTTCTTTCTTAGTTTCATTAAAGTGTTAGCAATTCTTATTACATACTTTCTTACATACTGATATCCTACTTCAGGGATGACAATATCCCTGTCATTACTCATATATGGTAATCCAAACATCATTTCATAGGGAGAAATTCCCAGGTCCGCTCGTGGTTGAGTATTGATCCTTAATAAGGCCAACGACAGGCATTTAATCCAAGACATCTGAGTCTCAATCATTAGCTTAGTCAAGATTTGTTTTGAAGTTTGATTCATTCTTTCTCCTCTTCCAGAACTCCGAGGGTGCCATAGGGTGTGCCACGCTCATGCGATCCCTAAGGCTTCAGATAGCTGTTGCATAATTTTTAAAATGAAATGTGTTCCTCTGTCCAAGTCTATTCTTTCTATTAATCCATATCTGGGATAATGTTTTCCAATAACACCTTGGACACCATGCTTGCCATTGCCCTTGGTGTGGGGGATTGCTTCCACCCAATGAGTTAAGTGAGCCACTAATACCAACAAATACTTCCACCCTTGTATTTGAGGTAGCTCTGTTAAGTCTACCTGGAGGCTTTGTACGGCTAGCTCCTGTTCCCCAGCCACCTTTTTCTCATTACCTTTTTGTTCACTTTTTAACAAATCAGACATCGATCAACTAGTTGTTTAGCCTCCATATATATTCCTATACACCCATATTGTCTTAGAAAATGATCACAAAGTGATTGCGTTCCCCAATGTATTTTCTGATGTATTAATGACAGAATTTCTCATGATGATGTTTTATTTAACATCTACCTTCCATCTGGTAAAGTCCATTTTCCTTCTGGATCTTTTTCCCCCCTATTTTTAAGTATATCCTTCTCTTGTTCTGTGAAATTCAGGGCTAAATTCTCATAATCCCCCAGTGTTACTACCAATAAAACTACTGATGATGATTCTGTAGCTGCTTCTCTGGCTACTTAATCTGCTAAATTATTCCCCCTTATTTCCATTGATGCTCCCCTCTGATGTCCTTTCACATGCACAACTGCAATTTCTGTAGGGAGCTTCAGGACTTCTAAAACTTCTCTGATCAGCTGCTCGTGTACTAGCTCCTTCACTTTTGTATTTATAAGCCCTCTTCCTTCCCATATTTTTCCAAATGTGTGGACCACTCCAAATGCATACTTTGAGTCCGAGTCCGTGTACACTGTCCCTTCCTTATCTCTCAAATATACCAATGCCTGTTTTAGGGCATAGAGTTCACAGACTTGTGCTGACCACCCAGCAGGTAATTTCCCCTTTTCAAACACTTCCATCTTCTGCCCCTCCCATCAATAAATAGTTTTTCCCTATAGAGCAAAGGTTCATCCAACAGATCTTCTCTTATTTTCGTTTGATAACTTATAAAATCCAAACAGTCATGCTCTGGTTCCTGAATATCCTCCCCTATTCTCCTCCCATAGCTCTAGTAATTTAACCACCATTTTTCCTTCATCCAGCACCACACCTATTCCTAACTGCACTTGTAAATCTCTACCTAGCAAATTACATCCCACCCCTGGCATTAACAACAGATCATTAACAACATACTGATCTTCCCCTTGTATTAACACATTCTTTATAACTGGGACTGAAAACCCTTTGCCTTTAGCCCCTACAGCCCAGGCTGTATCTTTTACATAATCTTCCTCCTGGAGTCTTAATTTCAAATTTATCAAGGGCTCCTCTGTTGGTATACCCCCCAGGAGGTAGAGCTCCTGACACCCCTAGTGATTACCACCCTCATCCTGTTGGGTTACTTCAAACACCAACAGGTCCCATATTCTCTGGGGGCATTCGTGTTTATAATGCCCCCCCCTTCCCACAATAAAAACATCCCCTTGGGATTTCCCTAGCCAGTTGTGCCTCTTCTCTTGGTTCCACTTTCCCTTTAATTCCCTTTTTTTTTTTTTTTTTTCCAAATTTGTAATTTCCCTTCTGAGATTCCCTGTGTTTATTTCTAACAGCTTCTTGTGCCGTTATCATAATTTTAGCTTTAGTTTTAGCCTTTTCTTCATCCTTCCTAACATATACTTTCTGTGCTTCTCTTAGGAGTTCATCCAGACTCTTATTATAATAAAATGACCTATAGTCACTCATATCTCTCCTCCCCTCTTGTGCATTCTGATTCCACTGCAGAGGGGTTACAGGGAGTTTCTGTTCCCCGGGTATCCCCTGCTGATTTTGTCTCTCCCATATCCACATTCCAGCCGTTCTGATCATCTGTCTCTCTTCAGGGGAAA